CCCCCCCCCTTGAAAAAGAAATATCCTAAACCCACTTTACAACTACTTTATGGCTCAAAATGAAAATTCATCAAAAGAAAATCAATGCCTTACATAAGCAAACTCCAGACTATCTACCCGCCTTCAAGAGTTCATAATCGACTGACATCAACAACTAACCCTCTATTTTTCTCAATAATCTCTGTCAATTCCGGGAAATATTCGGAATCAGTCAGTAAAACTAGAGATATTCGAAGACAAACCAATCCAAATCCACGAAAACAAGAAGAACAAGAATAAGAGCAGAGAAATGGAGAAAAGGGAGAGAAATTACCAAAGTTGAATTGAGAGAAGGGCGGCGCGTGGAGAAATGAGTGAAAAGGGGGAAATTAGGGGTTGGGGAGAAGAAGGGATTGGGAGTGTTAATGAATCGAAGAGATAGAGAGGAAGAAGAAGAAGCAGCAGCAGAAGTCATTGCGCGTTGCACCCTTCCTTTTGCTCTCTCCTCTGATTTTCTCTTCTCTCTTTCATACTTTTCTTCCCCTTTTTTCTGTAAACGAATAATATATGAGGAGCTAACCAAATCCCTCAAATATCCTCCATTTCTAATTATTACAACATTTATCCATATATATATATATATATATATATATGGCCACCGGTAGCGGATATTGTCTTCTTCGGACTTTCTCTTGTGAGCTTCGGTTTCCACACCCTTATAAAGGGTGGTTTGTTCTCCTCCCCAACCAATGTGAGACATCATATATATATATATATATTTTTTTTGTGATATTCAAATAAAGAATAAGATCACGTTTTAACGAGAGCGATCCTGAAGATAGTATGATTAAGAAACAACTTAAAAGAATAGAAAGTCAGTGTTCAGAGTAGCAAGTTACATTTTCTATTTTGATGACTCAATCAAGAAAATTTTAAAAATAAATGTGTTTCGAGGAATTTTATGTCGGGTGACCTCTTAGAAATTTTTTTAGGAAACATGTGAGTGGGAAACAAAGTATGTTAAAAGGACCCGTGTTAGTTTGTGTGGGGATAATTTTTACTCTTAGAAGCAAAAAGTAGGTAACTTGGTCATGTCACACAGAATGCTAGAGCCATCGAATATTGACTCCTGAGTTGTCGCTTATAATATATGCTAAAGGAATATGAGATATAAATATGCATGAAGATTCATCCACGAAGACTTTGGAGGCAAAAATTAATTAGATAACGAAGAATTTTCCACCTTGTTTAATAAGTTCAAGAAGTTTCTCGAAAAAGAACGATGATCAAGATGACAAAAGAAATTAGAGCAACAAATACATATTTTCTAAAAGAATAACACTAGATTGGTTCATGAGAACCGTTCTTTGTTGTCGCTCGCCCATATGGTTAGTAGATATCCTAAACATGTTCTTATGAACGATATCATGAAAAATCATTCATAATCTTATAAGTTGGTTGCGTGTAGAATTTGAGGTTAGAGTTCGTTGAAACCTTAAATCGACATAGTAGGTATATGAAGGGTATTTTCGTCATTCTTACTCCTAACATTGATTTATGCGCTAAACGTGCTGCTATTATCCTAAATTCAGTGTGCATCAATATTACATGATATTAGGTCATACCTTAAATTTTCATGCACGGTCGGTAGAGATCATTAAGTGGTTCGGTTTCATTAATTACTTAGTTTTTGGTCCTACTAAGAAATTCTCAAGTATAATGTCTATTATAGGTTCTTAATGGGTTGTTCTTCGTCTAATTTTTTTCATATTCACTTCATCAACTTCTTAAAGTATTTCCAAGCGATTCCTACGAGCATATTTTAAGAAAAAATCGAGATGGTTACCTACTTGTTCAAACACACTTCGATACTCGGTTTAGGTCCTTTCCAAGCTTAAATTTCTCCTAATTTTTTGGATAGGTCCCTTAATGTGTTAGCTTTCCAGAACTATTAAAATTTCTACAAGAACGCTATTAGGAGGGTAAAATTGATTAAATATTAATAGTTAAATCGACCATATCATCATCTTTTTCCCCCAGACAGTGGAAGAAGTCGCATAGTCTTACCTCCACTCCATGAAATACTTGCCTAATTGCTTGAGCTCCAAAATTTTCCCTTTCCAAAGTTTAATAATTTTTGTGATCTTCTTTTAAAATGTTCGATCTCCAAGTGATTTTTTTTAAAATTTTTCCCTTTTAAGTTATCTTTAAGAACTTGAATTGGGGGATTATGCTACGCTCGTTTTTAGTCGTTGAAATTTGCAACCAAGAGTCGATCTTTTTGCCCTCTTGCATTTGAGACGACGGAAACGGTTGGATCTCTACAAGTCTAAAAAAATCCTATATCAAGGCATATTTGTGTAAATGAGTTTTCACAACTATTTTTTAAAACTTCGAACTTTGGGATCTATTTCTCCACTCTAGATTTGAGGGTTATTTTTCCAATTTCTAACTTTTAGGGCTCACGAGCACAGCACGGGATATTTCCCTAGTATATTTTGTACAAATGCATACCCATGACACGATACACTCTCCTTTATTTTCCTAATTTTCAGCAACGTGAGGGTGCACTAGTCCGTAGTAAGCCTTAGGGGGTATGTATATACCACATAGTGTGTAGAGAAGTATTACGCATCCAACCCTACTCGAAAACGAAATTAGAGTCCAAGAAATAGTCCTGAAAAGTTAGGTTCCATCATCAATCATAATTGCATGTGATTGCATTTTTTGACCCAAATAATGGAATTACTCATTGAGTATTTTTAAATATCAAACCATGTTTGATATTTTTTTTCTTAATAAAGGCGAGGATCTCATCTACAGAAAATCGTGTTAACTGAGGAAGCCATAGAAACAAGTCAGGGTAGTTAGATTTCTGCATTCAAGTTGTAGTCTTGATGTTCGGGTAGGTCAACAACATTTTATTTCTAACTTTTGATTTGATTGTCCTTACCCTCTAAGTTTTTACCACTACAGTACTACCGTTCCCTATCGTTTTTTGTATGTACTGAATTGTCTAGTATTTATATAATAAAATAGTAGAAATTACTCGTACGTGGATGGATGAACTGTACCACCATGGTTACAGACTAGATATCATAAATTTTGAGCTGACCACACACTAACTTGGTTACGGACTAAATGACCCAATTTTTTTTATAGCAATTTTAGTCCCTTAAATTTTTGGTATATTACTCTATGAGCATATCTAAGGCTAGAATATTTTTTTGGTAGTTGTGAACTATATTCGGTTTAGAGATTTGGTGTGAAATTGAGTTAAAAGTTTGATTTTTATGATGTATATTTTGGAGTTGTTGCTTCCAAACTTTTTGAAGGGACCCGAGCAATTTTTTTTTTATTTAGTAAAAATAAATTTTTTTAATCAACTTTCGCACTTTATTTTTCTCAGATTTAAAATAACGATAGTATGTATTTAGTAATGATCCTGTCCTGTCTAAATTTAGATAAGTCGGAACTTAATGTTATTTCCTTTTATTCTTCTCTTTAGAATCTGGAATGAAAAGTTATATTGATTTATAAAATATTATTTTTTAAATTTTCGTTAAAGTAAATTCGAAGTAAGACCATTAGGCTGATCTTGAGCCGCCATCCAACCAAGCACGAATACCTTTGGTTAATATCAAATTCTGGGTATAGTAGTAGGTAGGGTATAGAAAGTCTCAAATTTTAGATCTTCCCCTGCTGCACGGATTTCCTGAGAACTGTAGTCATAGGCACGTAGGTTCAAGGTTCAGGGCCAGACCAACTACTCCAAGAGCACTCAGCCATAAAACAGTTACTGGTACAAATAAGAGAAAGAAATGTACTCAACATTTAGTGGAAAAAGCGCAACCCCGCTAGCTATATGCGTAACACATGCAAGTCTAACGTAGTTTTTGGGGAGCTAGGCAGAAGGAAAAGAGGCTCCTAGCTAAAGGTAGCTTGTCTCGCCTTTCTAAAGGGGTGGGAACAGTTGATAACAAAGTGGCGAACGGGTGCGTAACGCTTGGGAATCTGTTCGTTCTCCCTATGTATTCTTTCTAATAGACTTGACTGGACTCTCCTCTCTCTCTTGTAAACTCATTAAGCTTTTCCTTCAAAGAAAGAAAGACTCTTTGCTTGCCTTGTTCTCGCATATTCTATTCATTCTCCTGATATCTGAATCACGAGACTGATCGGATCTGCCGTAGACACCCGAGAGACCTCCACAAGGCAGACTCAAAGAGTAAGAGGACAACAAGCAAAGAGTGTTGCTTTCATTTCTTTATTGAGATTGAAATCAAGTTCTTTAAAAAGAAAGGGGAGAGGTAAAGAAGCGCCGAGGTTCAGGTTAATAAATCAGGTAAATAGGTCAACTAGCAGCTAAACGGGATCTCATGCATTGACTTCTCTACTCATTTCCCTTCTCGGATGGCTAGCTTTTGACTTCTTAAGCCTCCTTCGGATCCTCCATCCCAGAATCTGAACCCATAAAAATACATTTTGAACTTTTGACTTTTTAGACTAAATGTATATATCTAAATCTAAATCAATTGAGTTGTATTCACGTTTCTCTGTGATTTTATTCCAAGTTTATTTTGTATCTAATGCATACAACCTAATGCATACAAAGTAATTTGTTGAATGGTGAAAATTAAAAAAAGTATGCACATATATACAAATACATTTTATTAGATGAACACGACTCTCCACAATGATATGATATTGTCCACTTTGAGCATAAGCTCTAGTAGATTTGATTTGGGCTTCCCCAAAAGACCTCATACCAATGGAGAGAGTATACCATAATTACTTGAACCTACCCACCCCGCGCTTGTATGTTCTTATTTCTTTCTATTTTTTTTTTTTGCCGATTAGAAGGACTTGCATAACCCCTGGCTCAAACCCAATAGATTCCGAAGCGAACTCTCATTAATCTTTCGAGAGAAGCTGCTTGACTGATAGTTTAGATAGTAAAAACAGATGCTATCGGTGGATCCAATTGAAAAACTTTGAGTTTCAAAGATCACTCAGGCCAAGATCTCATTTAAAGAGAGAGATATAAAATATCTAATGTTTCTTTTTGTTATTCTAGTTAAGACATACCCTCACAACAAGATAATAAATATTCTAGTTAAGACATACACTCACAACCAAGATAATAAAATTTTAAAGACTTTCGGTCACGCACATTGAACGAAATAGATAAACAAATAAAGAAATACGTAGAACGAGAGAGAGAGAAATAGAAACACAATGAGGAGGTTTGGATTATACAAGGCAAATTGAGTAGCCAAGTGCGTATTAGTGAGAAGTGTTGCCAACTTCCCCATTGGTTTCCTTCCACATATTACTTTAATAATAATAATATGAATTCCCCTAAGCAAGGGAAAAGAGGAGGAGATTAGAAAGCGGGGGAGCGGGTCCACACCGACCTTCTCTTCCAAATACATTAAAAACTACAACTCTTAACTCTTTCACTGTAATTTTACCAATGGTTTTTGACAGCCCTACTAAAAACCCCGCCATCAAAACACCATTCTATTCATTCAACACCTTCCATCCTCACCATACTCGTTTCTTTTACCCATACATTCCCTTCATTCCCTTCAAGTACTTTGGTTTTCATACCATATTCACACTCACACTCACCGCCTTCCCCCGCCCCATCGCGAATCCTCTCGTCCCGTCTGGCATTCTCGGCCCCGGAGGCTGCTGCTGCTGCTGCTGCTTCATTGTGCCTGCCAGCTCCATGGTGGTGGTAGAACTACTCAAAGGTGGAGTTCCCACATGGTTCCCATGGTTGTTATTGTGATTATGGTGGTACTGTGATCGACCACGTCCTTTACCCCGTACCCTATTACGAACTCTTCTCTGCCCACCGCCATCCTTCTCATTTCCCTGCTCCTCTCGCTGCAACAGACATAGTAGTAAAAAGAAAGAAATACATTTTCCAAGATAGAACAAATATAATATGCCTCATGTTCAGATCACTGTTTCTTTTTCTTCAACACTATTTTTACAACTCAAGGACATAGTTGTAGTTGTACAACCTACATAACTAACAAATACAAAAAGGTTGCCTTTTTCTTTATTTTCCCACAAGTATCTGCCTCAATCTACTACCATTTTTCCTCGTACTACTCGAACAGTACGACATCATAAAATTTGAGTAACGACATTAGAAAATTGAACTTATTTCCATTTGCTGCACCCATCAGGCTAAAGACTTCAGTTAACTTCTTTGATTAATAGTGCACACGATTTTCTAGATCAAATTATGTTTACGCCAGTGAGCAATTAAAAGTTTTCGCTATTAGTAGAGAAGTAACAGCTGCAATTTTCTGGGAGGTTTCAAAAAAAGTAAAAAACACAACCTTGTGATATGCGTCAAGTATTCACCCATGGTGCAACAGTAAGCAAGCCTATTGTAAGACATACGACTCATACGACAACAAGACTACTCGACTCAGATAAGTGATTTTGCTCAGCCGAAAACAGCAGTTCACATCTAGAACTCTATTCTCATCGGTCCCAGTCCACCTCAAGCTCTTCCTTCAGAGTCTTCTTTTCCCCAACTTTCTTATTATCGAATCAAGTATCCTTTTATCCTCTCAATTCCTATAACTCACCTAAGTTCTCTTGCCCCGGCCCGTACCAGCTTGGACATGCATCAGTTTTCCTTTTCTTTTCCATATAACTAATTCACTAATTAGGCTCACCTACCTGTCTCCTAGATACTTAAACCAAATTGGAAGGTTCAACCTTCCTTCGGGAAATCATGCACAACACTTTTAATGTAGAAAATTATATCGGTGGAAGGTATAACATTAATTTGAGGACTATTGGTGTAATATCATTTAATGAAGGAATTAGTCTATTTTTTATTTCCATTTTGTAATGTTTTCCATTTCCTAGAGGATTAGTTAGCTTTCCTTGTTCATTTCCTTTTTTGAACTGCTTCATATTTTCCAGAGGACGAGTTAGTTTTTCTTTATTATATAAATAGGCCTATGTACTTCTCTGATCCATAACAAGAAAGAAGAGTAATGCACCTTCAAGCCAATTAAACATAAAGTCTACCTTAACTGGTGATGCCTTCATAGCTGCCCCGATCATTTATTATGACCAAGACCCACCTTCCAATTTATTCCACCATCATGTCAAAAGAATCAAAAGTCACATCATCGATAGAGGAGGTTCCTACCGTCCAAAGGACAGGTGACCTACAACACATCTAACTGTCATACCAACTCAATGAAAAAAAACTTCCTTAAACCGTGCAGACATACCTTAAAGGAAAGGAAAAGGTTTGATACCAACGACAGTAAAAAATTTCCTACATAGACGAGGAAGACTCCATGATAATGTCATGGCTCTAAGACTCTATGGAGCCATCCATTAGCGATACATCTTTTTTTTTTTTTTCGAGTGCACAAGCCATATGTGCCTTCATTCATCGCACTTACTCAAAAGCTCAAGATGTAACTCAAATCTATGAGATCAAGATCATAACTAAAGCCATGCAACAAGGGAAAACTGTCGTAGAATATCCTAATGCCTAACAAACATTGTGACAGAACTCGATTATTATCGAGTATTCAAAATGAAGTGCACTGCAGATGCCATGATTCTAAAGAAACTCATAGGAGTAAACCATGACTATGACTTTTCGGTAGGATTCAACAAGTTTGACCAAGTCTGAGTATAGATCATCAGAAAATAAGAAACACCGTCCCTTGAAGAAACAATCTCTCTTATTCTAGTAGAAGAGAGCAGATGAAGTCTTATGCTTGACAAACTATCCAGTGTAGATGCACTAGCTTTTGTAGTTAAGAGAGGTCTTCTCTTGAAGTGCTCTTGACATTCATGGCTAAGAGAAAAAGTGAAAAAGTGACGGTACTCTTGACATTCATAGCTAAGAGAAAACCATAAAGAGAGGGAAGTAGCTCAAGAGAATAGGATGATTTACCTTAGAAGTGAGCATGAGAGGGACAATGTGGTTGAATTAAGAAACAGTTGAAAAAAATAAAAAGTAGTCTTGAGAGTGGACAATCATAACCAAGAGAAAGCCATAACGATTGGAAATTAGCTCAAGAGAATTGGTTGCTTGCCCGTAGAAGTAATCTCGAGAAAGAAGCAACTCAAAAGAGTGGATTGTTTGATCCATAGAAGTGTTCCTCCAAGAGAAGTGAGCACAAGTATCAGTGAGACTTAAGAGTTCTCGATTAGCATTGTATTAAGTAGATATGTTCCAATAATAGTGGCTTGATAAGCTCCAATTTACATAGTTATGTTTGATAAGCCTTATAGTGCCTCAATAGATCTCTATAAGTGCTGAAATCAGGCAGTAAGCTCTGATCCAGTGTTTAAGGTTGTTTTGACCATGCCCACAGGATAGGGTGGGGACAGTGAAGTCATCCCCATCCCTATCCCACCTCCTATTTCAACAATCTCTATCATCACAAAATTCTTCATTTATTTTCATAGGGATAGAGATAAGGATTACTTGTGGGGATTAGATTCCCCTAAGAATTTTTTCCCCATTTTTATATTTTTTCAAGAACTTTTTATAATTTCCATTTTTTAATATAATTTCTATCAAAAATTGTAAAACATCCTAATAAATCTTTATAAGCAAAAATATAATATAATATTCAACATAATTTCTAAAAAACCAAATTTCTAAATTTAAAAAACTTATACTTATTTATTTTTTATTTACTAGGTAGAGAAATAAAGAAATAAAGAAACAACTATATATATATATATATACCCATACAATATACATATATAATAGGTTAATTTTGTGCCTTAGTTTTGATATATATATAAATATATTTATATTTATTATAAAAAAAGAGAGGTGGGACAAGGGTGGGGAATATTATCCCTAACTGGGAAAAATCTCTTCCTGCTCCCTCCCCATTCTGTGTTTAAATGGGGATTGTCCGCCCCATTCTTGACGACTTACAGATTAAGGGAGAAAGTTCGATAAAGTTGTACCATGATAACAAATCAGCCATCAATATTACTCATAATCCTACCCAACATAATAGGACAAAACATATTGAAATCGATCGACATTCTGTTAAGGAAAAGTTAAAAGGGGATTGTATGCATGAGTTATTTGCCCTCATGGCTTCATCTGGAAGATGTGTTAACAAAAGAACTTCACAACTGATTGTTTCATACAAGTCAAAGAAATAATCTTAATTTGAGGAATATGGGTGTAATCCCATTTAATATGAGAATTACCCTATTTTCTATTTCCTTTTATCTAATATTTCACAGCTTTTTTTTTTTTTGCCCAAACGAGAGGTATGCTGAGAGAGTCCTGACTTTTCTTTCTCTTGCCTTTTCCGGCATAATTCGGGGCTATCGGTTCCATTCTGTTCTCTCTTTACCTCTGATTTTTTACCTAACTTAACGATCTTTTATGCCCGGCCATACCAACATGGGAAACCTAGCTTCCCTCCCTTTGAAAGTACATTTCTCAGAAGAAATAGGGGGTTCTGCTTCTGGTGGCAACATGCTAAGGGGGTGGCGGTCCCTTTTCTATTCCCCATAAGATAAGTTAACTTTCCTTTTTTGTTTCCTTTTCTTTATGGTTTCCTATTCCCTAGAGAATTAGTTAGCTTTTCTTATTACAAATAGGCGTATGTACTTCTATGATGAATAACAAGATAGGAGAGTAATACAAACTACTCTGGCAATTATTATAGAACTATAACCTCCTACCAGGAGTTAATAGAAAACACTCCAATTTGGTTGCAACTACTTTGTTGAACTGTTTGAATAAAGAACGTCCCAAAGATTTGGTTGGCCAAGTCTCCATTCGCCCTTTCAAGTTCCCAATCACACCTCCACTACCAATTGTTAAGGAACAAATTTCTCAATTAACCAACTCGCTAAATTTTCCTTCATATTGACACAACGTATACAAGCAAGAGAGTACCCATTCCGCAGGCACATCCACCCCCCTTCGACCAGAACTCTTCAGTTTCAAAGCCATACTACTCAAACATTTCTACCACCACAAAAGTATAATCTAGTGCCAAGATTATACACTAAATGGTAGATCTCTCCAAACTTATGCAAAGTCCAGAGAAATCTTGAATAGATTCAGAGCTAAAGGTGATTGTCAGTTAAGCTCTAAAAATCTACAAAGGATGAGTAGACTACGATGGCATCATCTATAAACGGAAGGTGGGTTACATGGATATAATGTCCTCACACTTCAATCAGATATCTAACTCACCCAAAATTCATCAGCCTTTCTTGGAACATTTCCAACAAGATTGAACCAAAATGATTGGATTTTATCCCTTCCCTTTCAATCAATGTTTTGAAATACCTTTCTAACTTCTAAGTTTATGATCTTGATTCTTTTATTCTTCAATAGACCAACAAGAGATCCATGTATCGGTGCAAGTTTCAAGGCTAGACACTTGAACCTCTCTCCCAAAGCAATGCTCAAGGCGTAAGCCTCAAAAATTCTTTTCAAACATTGGTTCTATTCCTGTGCTGCAGCCACCTCAAACTTCTTTATGGGTCAAGGACAGTATTCCTAGGATTGTGCCTTTTCTCAGTCCTTTGGGGGATTCAACTTCAAATAAATGATAGACATTTTAGAGGTGGGTAGAGATCTTAGGGGGAACTGTGGGAGGTTCGGCCTCTTTATGAGCTCTAGTGGCAAAGGGTTTTTTTTAATTATAAGTTAGACTTCATTCTTTTAGATTAGAATCTTCTACAGCAGTCTTTTGGACTCTTTTTTTGTGTGGCTTTTATTCTATGCATGCCCTTGTACATTCTTTCATTTCTCTCTCAATGTCTCAGTTTCTTATTAAAAAAAAAATAAAAATAAAAAGGCCAATGAGGTTAGAGAATTTAATAGCAGTAGTTTAACTCTCGAGCCATAAATAGAGACTTTTAGCTGGCATTTGACCTCTTTGCATGATCATCCACATTTATTTTTCTTCTTTGCAAGCCATCAAATCTCAACAATGAATTTTTACATCCACAGTTGGAAGTCCTTTTTGTAATCCTCAAGCTTCCCAACTTAACCTGACCGCCCCCTTAGGGCCAACTCCATTCAGTTTGAACAATTTATCTTTTAAAAATTATCTATTGTTTCCCTCAACACACCTTCCGCACCCTCTGAACAATTTATCTTTTATGATTTTTCCATCCTTTATTTCCTTTCTGTCTCTGATGACATATATATTAACCCTTTTCTCATTCGTAACTATCCATGATTTCATAGTAATATCCAATTCTTCTCTTCACTCCTTCCACTAAAAATAATTTAAGAAAAATTAAAGAGAGAGTGCATTAATTTAAAGCTTCCAGGAATCTAAAGAAGCTTAGAGGGAGTTCACTTGTACTTGTTCATGCAGATGAATGTCAACTTGATCAGAAAGATCGTCTACATGCTTCTCAATACGTGGTTGTTCAGAGGTTTCATCATCTTTGCAGTTCATCTCACCACTATGTCCCTTCTTTCCACGAGATAGAGCAGATTTTGACTGTGAACAACAATGAATTTTTAATTAAAACACACGCACAAACAAAACAAAGAAAGAAAATAAATCAAGAACAAAGCTTCAAATTTAGGGTTTGGAACTAGTATAAAGTTTTGTATACATAAAATAAAATAAAAAATGCTTAAACATGTAAAGAAGGCAACTCACCGTTCTGTCTTTTAAGTTCAAATAAGAGAATATAAAAAACCCGTGCAACACACAATAAAACACAGGAAATACAGTACACAGTATATTAAGATACACAGTATATTAAGCTATGTAGCAGAAACCAAATCAAATACATGGAATAAGTATAGTCTTAGTTTAAGTACCGGGCATGAAAGCATCAAACGAAGCCTGAGTGCATTTCTCCAATTCCCTTCATCATTTAATTCTGCAACCTGAAAAATTATGCAACTTCTTTTACATTGAATCTCCTTTACAAGAATGAAAAAACTTTCATACGTAATGGAATTGAAAGCACTTACAGCCTTCTCCGCCAGCTCCACTGATTCATATTCCACGAATGCATGCAACTGAAACATAAAATGTTGAGAATTATGTTATTCCCTTGAATAAAGAATAAGAAAGATTGTAGTTAATTTAAAATATCATGGACGTTGATATTCAGCAGTAGTTTGAGTAGCCTATTTAAGGCTAAAAAAGTTATATTACTCAAATGTACCATGACTAATCGCTATTCACAAGGCCATTGATATAGGACATTTTATAAGGTATCGATTATACAGTAAAATTTCCCATCGGTTATTCTATAAAACAGGCTAATCTACAAACATCAGAAAATATATTTTACTGCCAGCATCTATGAAAATCAGGGGGATGCGACAAAAACCAAACGAAGATCAAAACATTGTGGGATTAGGCAATGAAAATATATGCAGATTGTATACTAAATCGATCTCTCATATTTTACTTGATCAAATATGAGAGAGACCAACTCCATCAATTTCAAAGAACTAAGGGTTACATAACTAGTTTTTTTTTTTTTTAATCCGATGTTTGAAATTTACAAAAGGGATGTGCTATCCATGATGGATACAAAAGACCAAATGAGGGAGGTGTGACTATAGGAAGCAAAAGTATTTGACAATTTACACCAACAAATAGCAAGGTACACAATGTTGCTGAAAAACTTCGTAAAAGTTTGCCTCCTCCATGAATACTCTTCGTAAAAGTTAGCATTCTTGGAGGGGATGATATGCTAAGGCCATGTCCAATAACTCCTTTACCCTATGTAGGGAAAAGTGAGATACCATCCAAAGAAATTGCGAATCCTTGACCAAAAATTATGGGTATGTGCAGCATAAATATATGGCTTTGTGATTCATTGTCTTTCTAACCTAATAGGCACCAACTTGGGAACAGAGTCATGTAGGACAGTATTATTATTTTATTTTATTTTATTTTATTTTTTATTATTATTATTATTATTTTTTTGGTAGGTTTTCACTTGCTATTTTCCATAAGAAAATCTTCACCTTTTTAGGGTGATTTCCTTTCCATATTGTCTTTGCTAGTGTGGGGTTGATTGCTTTTGCCTTTTCCCCTATGTCCTTCATCAAAGATTCCAAAGAGAAGACCACTTCAGCGCTAGGAAGCCATTTTAATAAGTCTGCTTTTTCAGACAATACAAAAAAGGCTCAACTCTGCTTTTTTAGACAACACAATTGGGGCTAGGTCAAGGCTTAACTCTGCCCATTCCACAGCTTCATTATCTTTAAGTTCCTCCCAAACTTCAAGTCCCAAAATTTGTTGGCATCTTTCCATGTTTCTTTGATCGTGATCATTTTGTCATGAGAGAGTCTATACATAAGTGGATATTGCAAGGCTAGCCTAGTGTTTTCAATCCAAGGGTCAGTACAAAACTGAAATAAATGAAGATGGGAAGCGATGACAACTGTATATAGATATAATGGAAAAAAGAAAGGACGATATGGAGCCGCTGGTCGTACACTATGGTCAGCGACCTCCAAAGTGAAAAGGATGCACAGAGGGGGCAGAGAGCGGACAAAGGAGACAAGTCAGCCACCTACCCTATTTCCTTCTTGATTTCAGCAGATTTGGGGTGCCATTGTGTTTAAATCAAGAGAGAGGGAGTATGAGGGAAGTATGGAGTCTAGGCAACACCACGAGAGAGATTCCAACAAAAGAGCTTGCGACTTAAAGGTCCATCTCTACAACCCTGGTGCATAGAGAGGAGAAACTCGAAGTTATACAGATCACGTGGACGACCCGTTGCTCGTAGATGAAGATGGATGGGCGAGAGCTGAAGCAAAGGAAGGAAGGAACGCTGCCTCTGCAAATCGCATAGAACAGAGAAAGATAGTTATGGGGAGGAAGAAGAAAGAAGTTGACCCGCTGGGCTAAACCGACCTGAGTGACCCAACTGTATAGTGACCCAACCCACTTGATCCAACTCGAGTAACCGCCTCACCTAGTGATCCAATCGCCCGAGACCCCCGAAACCAACCTGACTCGATTTAAAGGACTTAACCAGACCCACCTAGTTGACTCCAACCCGCCATCTGGACCCCGACCCGATGGACCTAATTGAGGACTTTTTAGAAATTTGGAAACTCTTGAAGACCTGAAACAAGCTCGGGAAGACAACAAATATGTAAGTAGCCACATGGATTATTCAAGTAATACTTGTAGGGGACGATTAGGACAATGGGCAAAATTCATTAGGAAGCATGTTAATAAATTTAGTTAATCAAGTTGGATGCTCAATTGGAATCATGATGATAGACCTAGTTAATCAAGTTAGATACTTATTTGGTAGTATGACAATGAGACTATTTCAGCTAGATGTATATTTATTAGAAAACATGACGACAAACCTAATTAATTAGGTTGTCTACAGTTAAGCCTAGGAACCTTTACATACCCTTGTATGCCCGAATATTTTATTGGATATATGTTATGTGTCCTAGTGAGCATAGGTATAAATATGCATGATTATGAACGGTTAGTGCACATCCTTTAGTCTTAGAACCCACATTGGGTCCCATTGGCATTCTTGGGTGACCAGACAATCAAGTAGGGACAATTGGGGCACAACCAATAATTGTGAACTTTCATAGTATGGTTAGGGTCTACTTGGTACCTATTGGTTAGTTGTCACCTACAGTGGACGCCAGGAGCTGTAGAGAGCATGCTACCAGGGTGCACCTTTTAGATAGCTCGTATGAGGTGCAGGCGATTATAGTACTAGCCTGCATATATTGCACAAATTACCTCATACACACGAGACTTACCCACGAACTCGCCATACGGCAAGTTGACTCATGTGCTAGTAGCACAAGGTTAAGGGTAGACTTTGGGAGATATAAACAACAAGTTGAGTACAACCTAACCCTACATCATGACCCGAGGGGCTTAGTTATGCACCCTAGTGTAGGAGTGTATAGGGCCTCGGTACATATAAGCCTATAAGGTTAGCATAGATGGTAACCATGGTAATGGTTAACACTAGAGTCAACATGTGAGCACATACTTAAGGAATTATTGTAAGTACTAAGTCTAATGAGAGCCTAAAAGTTGGCTGCTTACTGAGTATTTTATACTCATCCCATGTTATTCTATTTTTTTAGGAGTGGAGATCACGGTCGAGGGGAAAAGAGTGCAAAGGGGTGCAGCTACAAGGGTGCCTTTAGATCGAGTCGTCTTCCTTTCTTGTCATTTTATTATCTTTAAATGTTGTTTTTGGTGTATTTTATGTAAACTATTTTGGACTAACTCCACGGACGTTGTTTTGTACTTTTAATTGACCTTATGTTAGTTTTAATGCATTTTTAAATTAAAACTTTTCCTTGTCTCCAGCATTTCAATTTGAAAGATTTTATCGCCCTTTTTACTCTTGAGACTACGTGGCGACCATGATTCGAGGCATCGAAAAACAGGTCGTTACAACTATGCTTCCCCCAGCACCCACCCTATGGCAAATACAATTGGTGATGATGTCTTAGTGCTCTTTATTGGAAATAGACCAATGCCTCCTTTATTCATCGGGAGGTTTATGGAATTCCATCAAACAAGACGTAGGTCATCTTTCTATATATATCTATGAATAATCTTTCTATTTTTGTACCCACTTTTCTAGGCAATTTGAATAGAGATATGTAGCAAGTGGGAAGGTTGAATAGTGTGGCTTGTATTAAGGTGATTTTCTGCGTTTTGAAGTATAACATGAAGTATAACATGATGACCATGTTGATAATCTTCTTTCTATTTTTTCAATAATGGTCTTCCAGAAGGTGAAGGATTTATGATTCCCATTTAAGAGCAATCCTAGGTACATATGTGACTCTCGAGTAAAAGAAGGGTACATGAATGAACCAAGACCACATCCGAATAAGAGCGACCCTGAAGATAGGATGATTAAGAAAGGTTTAAAGGAAATGAAAGTTACTACCTATACCTATACCATCAAGGTACACCTTCCTTTTTAGTGGCTCAATCATAGAAACTCCATAGTTAAACGTGCTTTACTTGGAGCAATTTTACGTGGGGTGAATTTCTAAGAATGTTCCTAAGATGCATGTGTGAGAGGACAAAGCATGCTAGAAGGACTCATATTGGTCTGTAAGGTAGCCTTCACTCTTAAGAAACGAGGAGTAGGTAACGTGACCATGTCACAAACGATGGTAAAGAAATGTTAGGGCCATCAAGTGTCGAATCCGGATTCCAAATCTTGATCTGAATCTTGGGCATGGGGCATTACAAATGGTATCAGAGCGATACCTCTCCCAATAAAATGTGGTTCGGGGACAAACCAAGGCATTTGACACTCGAGTAAAAGAGGGGTACATGAATGAACTGAGACCATATCCGAATGAGAGCAATCCTGAGAATAGAATGACTAAGAAAGTCTTAAAGTAAATGAAAATTACTACCTATACCAACAAGGGGAACCTTCCTTTTCAGTGGCTCAATCATAGAAACTTCATAGTTCAGTGTGCTTTACTTGGAGCAATTCTATGTTGAGCGACCATGTTGTTGGTGATGCAAGGGAATGCTAGGGCCATCGGGTGCCGAATTTGAATTTGAATTCGAATTCTGAATTCTGGGCATGGGGCATTACAACATATTTGACCATTCAATCTTTTTACAACCGAATATGTTGGCGAAGTCTTCGATAAACCATTCCTTTTGGATGTTAGAAGTTGGCAACCTAATATAGGAACCATCTTCATCTTGATTTAGAAATTTCTAGCTTTATGAGATGGAGTTCCAGAATTGGTTGAAAAATGACTTGAAAGAATCATCGAGGGTAGAATCAAAATCCCCATGGTAGTTCAGGCAAAGAAAAGAGATTGAGAAAATAACGGAGGATGTTGGTTTATCTTTTGCAGAACAAGCAAGAAATGGTTCTTATCAAACAGAGATTTGATGAGATATGTTGCAATACAAACTTAGCCATACGACTATCCCAAATAAGAACCCTATTCCCGAAGTGGATGAATTGCTTGATGAGTTATTTGGTGCTATAGTGTTTAAGATTGATCTCAAGTCTAACTATTTTTGTTTATGCCTTTTGGTTGGCACAATGCTCCCTCTCCTTTTCTATCTCTAATGAAGGATATCTTAGAGACTTACTTACGACAGTTTGCATCAATGTTCTATGATGATATCTTAATCTACAACACTTATATACAAGACCTACTAGAAACCTCATTAGAAGAATATCGTCATAGTCTGCTCTTTAGATGAGCAACTCAAATATTGTTGGCAGTGTTGTGGCTCAACCTCTCCCCCGTATTTGAGTAGAAAATTTTGAATGAAAGCCAGGGGGGGGGGG